GAAAAATATATTATTCATAAAAAATAATTTGCTCACAATTTTAGCCTTCTCTCTTAAAATATTGAAACATAAAACGATATTATGTTGTAGCTTGAACAAAAGAGACAAAAGTATTTTCTTATTTATTTTTATTAAGTATAAAATTGTATATAAACTTTCTGAACCCGACGATTTCGGTCGACTTTTCATTTTTTACATTGCTTAATTTTTGATATCTTTTTTTAAGTTCAATTAGTTTTTTATATACAGATGTTTCATTAACTATTTTTTCATCAAAGTTCCACAGATTTTAATCTCTGTTTTACCAAGTTTTGAATAATTTTAGGCTCAAACAAACAATTACTTTGAATAAAAATTAAGTCAGATTTGCTAACAAATTTTTTTATTGTGCATTTGAATTGGAATGCTTACCTTAAAGACAATTTCAGGTCTTTGTAAGTTTGTTTTAAATTACGGCTCTGTCACGTCTTTGATGTAAATTTAATTTCGTTTGTGTTCTAATTAAAAGGAACTAGTTTATCCTCTGAAAAACTGTAATTATAATCGAATAAAGTCAAACGTTCTTTTGTAATACGATTTTTAAACAACTCAATTTAATAGGTGGGTGAAATAATGCTTAAAATTGCGACTACTAATTAATTTTATTTAATTATTACTAACACAAAGGTGCGGTGCAAGTGATACATTATTATTCAGCCAACTTTCGTACTGAATTCAAATAAGTATAAAAAGAGAAAGCTGTTTTACATATCTGCAAAAATAATCTTAATCTCAGTACTATTTCACAAAACTGTATTTTACATACCAGAAAAAAAGTTCTCAAATTCATTTCAATGAGACCAAAACCACTAAAAACTAGAGCTTTTTGTGCCCTTGCTACCACTAGAATTAAACTTTTCTTAATTTGGATGCTTTGTATTTCGTACCATTTTGATTCATAAACCACATCACTTATTTCTCTTGCCTGGAATTACAGGGTGTCAGAACTTGCGTCTCAGAAAAAAAATTCAAGTAAGATGATATCAAGAAAATGAAAAAAAATGTTTAAAAAATTCTATCTGTCAAAAATTTTTGTCATTTGACATTTTTTATGCCTATTTAAAAAAAATAATATGATTTTTAGACGTAAAATCGTGTGGAGCAGAAAAAACAGCCTAATTTGAAAATTTGTTGCTTTGTTTTAATAAAATATTGCAAAATAAGTAAATTTCTTAATCAAAAATTTATAAATCACCCAAAATATCCAACAATAACGTAATTTGATTTTTTACATTTTTTATAAAAATAAATCAATTTCTAGCTTAAGTCGTTCAAAAAAAACTAATATGATACTGATTTTGAGAAAAATAAGATGATTTTCAGCCAGTTTTGACAAAATTTTTGAAAATATGAAAAATTCTAATTAAAAATAACGTGATTTTTGTCTTGTTTTGACTAAATTTTTAAAACAAAAGAGTTTCAGACTCAAAAATGAGCAAAA